GGTTTGACCTCTTGCACTACACGGATAAGACTGGAAGAGTCCGTCAAATCCCCATAATGCAATGTCAAGTCATAACCTTTGTTATGCGGATCATGGTACAGATGATCAATACGATCCGTATTGAACAAAGAAGCCCTGCGGCGTACGCCATGAACCTCATAGTCCTTCTGCAATAAAAACTCGGCCAGATATGCACCATCTTGACCAGTAATTCCAGTAATCAACGCAATTTTCTTTTTCACTTTAAAATCCTACCCAATCAATATAAAACAGCAATGTTATCTATAAAATAATCTACCACAGCTATTATTCAAATTTGTTTTTTATTATTTTTAATAAATTCTTAGATAACTGCTCATAAATAGATTTTATTCATTTCCGATGCTCCTCCATCAAGCCAGCCTTTGGACACGCCCATAGGTATCTTCAAACCTGACGATATCGTCTTCGCCTAGATAGCTCCCCGACTGTACTTCAATGATTTCCAGTGGAACCTTTCCAGGGTTTGCCAGCCTGTGCACATGGCCAAGCAGAACGGATTCAAGTATTTTAATTACAACGAATAAGGATTGCCGATGATTCCGGTTTATCAGCCATATTTGACAGGCCAAGAAAAAAACTATGTCAATCAGTGCCTGGACTCTACTTGGATCTCTTCCAAGGGTGAATTCATCAGTAGATTTGAGAATGAGTTTGCGAAGTATATCGGCGTAAAAAAAGCCACCAGCGTAAATAATGGTACGGTGGCAATACATCTGGCTCTTGAAGCTCTGGGGTTGAAAGTCGGTGATGAAGTCATCGTTCCGGCATTGACATATATTGCTTCTGTCAACACCATTATTCAGACCGGTGCGACGCCTGTCTATGTCGACTCTTTGCCTGGTAGTTGGCAAGTAGATCCGGCGGATATTGCTAGGAAAATAAATGAGAGAACCAGGGCGGTAATGGTTGTTCATTTATATGGACTGCCTTGCGATATGGACCCTATTGTTGAATTGTGCAAGAAACACAATCTGCTTTTGATCGAGGACTGTGCCGAAGCGTTTGGCTCTTTTTATAAAGACCAGCATGTCGGTACATTTGGGGATATCGCGACGTTCTCCTTCTTTGGAAACAAAACGATCACCACTGGCGAAGGAGGCATGGTCGTTTCGAATAATTCGGAGCTCATAGATCGTGCATTCCATCTCAAGAATCAAGGTGTTTCCAAGGAGCGGGAATACTGGCACGATATCGTAGCTTACAACTACCGGATGACTAATATCTGCGCAGCCATAGGTTTGGCGCAGCTTGAAAAGGCAGATGAAATTCTGTATAAAAAGCGCCAGATTGCTTCTTGGTACGAGTCAGGATTAGCGGGTCTGCCGGTCAGCTTTCATTCTGAAATGAAGAATACTCGACACTCCTTCTGGATGTGCTCAATTGCCGTGAATAATTCAGGCGATCGTAATCCCTTGAGGGAGTATTTGAGGCAGGAGGGTATTGAGACGCGTCCCGTTTTTCATTTGGTGAATGCGATGCCTCATTGCCATACTTCTGATATTTTCCCTATAGCCGAAGCAATTTCTGCGTCAGGGATCAATTTGCCAAGTTATCCCGCTTTGTCAGAGAATGAGGTTGTATTTATTTGCAATAAAATTTCTGATTTCTTTAGTGGGGATTTATAAAAATTTAATCAGCAAATTTTTGCATTAAAGTGGATTGCGTAAAAATACCTGGACATTTTCAATATTGAAAACCAGGTATTTTTACATGGATTTTTAAATAGATATAGAGTTTATTAAAATTTTCTGAATGTGATCGAGCTGATGCGGAAAATGCTGAATTTTTATAGGAACAAAAATGTTTCGTTATTTTTCGGGAATTTGGCGATCCAGATATTTTTGGATGCATTTGGCGTTATCTGATCTGAGATCGCGCTGGCGCAGATCCTTTCTTGGTGCATTGTGGTCAATAATTCAGCCGCTTGGGATGACGGCGCTTTTGGCTATCGTTTTCAGCAAGATGTTCAATACTGACATCACGACCTATGCACCTTACGTATTGTCAGGGATCATTGTTTGGGAGTTTATTGCAGCCAGTGTAACGGGTGGATCATTATCTTTTGTCCAAGCTGATGCCTACATAAAGCAATGCAGGCATCCGTTAGCTATTTATACATTGCGTACAGTGCTCGGTAGTTCGGCTGTTCTATTTATGGCAAGCCTGGCACTTTACGGGTGGGTCATAATTGTCATGCCAGAGAACATAGGATGGACTTGGCTGGCATCTTTGACCATATTTCCCATGGTTTTGGTTATTGCTTGGCCGATGGCAACTCTGCTGGCATATATAGGTGTGCGTTTTAGAGATATTCCTCATGCAGCAGGATTGGCTCTTCAAGCACTTTGGTTCGTATCGCCTGTTTATTTTGAGGCAAAGATGTTTCGCTCAGGCGGTATGGATTTCCTTGTGGATTACAATCCTGTATATCATATATTGCAATTAATTCGAGCTCCTTTGCTTCAGGGAGAATGGCCCACTTGGGAGAATTATATGTATTCTATATTGCTTGCTTTGGCTTTTTCGCTGATCGCATGGCTGATGGGAAGAAAGTCCGAAGCGAAAGTGATTTTTTACCTATGAAGCATCCTAGTATTGTCTTTGAATCTGTAAATCTGCAGTATTCTTCCGTGGCTTTTAAAGAGCGCTCATTGAAAGCTTTGTTGTCCCATGTGCTTCAGGGAAAAAGAAAGCAAGCGGATGTTCAAGACGTTCATGCACTGAAGAATATTTCACTCACAATTAAGGAAGGCGAGCGTGTAGGTTTGCTTGGCCATAATGGCGCCGGGAAGAGTACATTTCTAAAAACTGCAGCTGGCCTGTATCCTATCTCCAGTGGAAATGTTCAAGTGGAAGGTCAGGTCCGATCACTTTTTGATCTCAGCCTTGGCTTTGAACCTGATGCGACAGGTCGGGAAAATATTCTCTACCGTGGACTTTTACTAGGGCTTTCTCCTGCATTCATGCGGGAGAAAGAGGCTGAAATCGTGGAATTTGCAGGACTCGGGGAATTTATCGATTATCCGATGAAGACATATTCTGCCGGGATGCAAGTTAGATTGGCATTCTCCATATCCACCACAGTGGGTGGAGATATTTTATTGCTTGATGAAGTTATTGGAGCAGGTGATGCCAACTTCATGGAGAAAGCCAAACGACGTATTACTGATCTGGTCGAGCAGGCAGATATTCTTGTTTTGGCATCTCACGATTTTGTTTCCTTGAAGCGACTCTGTGAGCGTGGTTTGGTATTACACCGGGGTGAACTTGTTTTTGATGGTGAAATGAGTGAAGCCATCTTCGAATATAGAAGAATAAATAATATAGGTTGATGATTTTTATTATGTGGTTTTCGCAGTCCGGAGTTTCCTTGGGTAAGTATGGGCTCATAAATTGGCTATAGAAAATAGAAAATGTCAGAAATAAAATATGGTATCTATTTGGCTTATCCACCAACGGTGGATCTGCGGGCCGAAGGATTAGGCCGTCATCTTGCCATGTTTCTTAAAGGGGCAGAAAAATTAGGTAACCTGAAATTTACGATCGTCTGCCCCAGTTGGTCTCAGAAAACTCTGCAAGAACTTTTCGAAAGCGAACAGGTTTCTACCGACACTTTCATCATCGACTCTCCAAAAGGTAAGCCCTATGCTTTAAAAATTTTTGAGGCTCTGAATGGTTACCGGAGAAAAAGAAATAAATTTGG